AAATTGTGCTAGGGTAACCAAAAACTCTGCTATTCTGCACATCTCCCAATCATTTAAGTTCCTCCTGAAGTGCAAATTCCACCCCTGATCATTCCATAATTCGGCTACAGTTGCTTGTTGCATTTGACATAGGTCGTAGAGGTCAGGAAACCTTTGGCTTAATGGGACCTGACCACACCATTTGTCCATCCAGAACGCCACCTTTCTGCCATTTCCCACCTTACAATATGATCTTTCTAGCACCAAATCCCATAGATCACTGATAGATCTCCATACACTAGACCCATAGGGAGAGGTCACCTTTGTTGTCATCCACTTATCCCTCATTCCATATTTTGCAGCAATCACTTCCTTCCACAATGAGTTCTCAACAGATGCAAACTTCCATAACCACTTCATCATAAGGCTTTGGTTCTGAAACTTCATGTTTCTGATGCCCACACCCCCTATCTTCTTGCTTATGTTCATTTCTTCCCATTTGACAAGATGATACTTCCTTTTTATCTTCATTTCCTTGCCAAAAGTGCTTATGTAAATACACATATAATGCATATAAGTGCTTATGTAAAAGTGAACGGCTTTTTAACCTTTCAATCTGTTAAGATTTCCCACATCAGAAAAGGGATGGGAATTTGGTCTCCTTATATGGACTTGAACAAACTTCCCCTCATTAGCTAGCTTTTGGGGTTAAGTTAGGCCCAAGATCCATCTTTACATGGTATCAGAGCACATTCCAATTCTTTGTTCACCGATGTTGGGCCCCCATATTATAGTGTCCACTCCATGTAACGGGGTCTGGGCGTGCAGGGAAGTGTTAAGACGGAAAAGGGATGGGAATTTGGTCTCTATTTATATGGACTTGGACAAACCTCCCCATGAGCTAGCTAGTTGAGTTAAGCCTAAGATCCATCTTTACACAATCAAATGTTATTTGTACGATGTTTTTGTTGAAACAAGTATTAGAACATATTGAAAGAAGAACCACTAAAGCATATCGAACTCTTAAATATGATCATTTATCAATTAGAAATTTATAATTCTTATATTGTACACAAACACATCTTTTAAATATAATTTATTTTTAAAAATCTACTATAATTTATTTTTAAAAATCTACTCTTATTAATATGAGGGAATCATGCATATATTTAGACTAGTTAAAAAAGAAAAAAGGTTAATGAATTGATTCCAAATTTGCAATATTGCATCCTCAAAATCTGCAAATAACACATGACTTTATTTTATTTCAGAAGAACACATGTCATTAGATCACGATTTGTTAAGAGCTTTTCGGCGGTTAATAGTCAATGTATCGCTTTTGATCGGTTTGTTGGGGGGTCATTGATGAAGTAGGGATAATCCGTTAGGGTTTTAGGAGAGAAGATGAAGAGGAAGAAGAAAGAAAGGCAGAATGAGTGAGAGGAAGTATGTTCCTCTAAAATAAAATAGAAGTCACGTGTTTGCAGATTTTTTTTTTAGAAAAAAAAACTACAAACATGTGTTCCTCTAAAATAAAATAGAAGTCACGTGTTGTTTGCAGATTATTTTTTTTTAGAACAAAAAAACTACAAATAACACGTGACTTCTATTTTATTTCAAAGGAACACACTTCCTCTCATTCATTCTGCCTTTCTTCCTTTTTCCTCTTCATTTTCTCTCCTGACTAATGGATTATCCCTACTTCATCAATGGCCCTCCACCAACAAACCGATCAAAAGCGATACATTGGCTATTAACCGCCGAAAAGTTCTTAAACATATCGTGATCTAGTCACATATGTTCCTCTGAAATAAAATAGAAGTCACGTGTTATTTGCATATTTTGAGGATGCAGTATTGCAAATTTGGAATCGATTAACTATATTTTTGAGTTTTTTCTTTTTTTTAACTAGTTTAAATGTATGTACATCACGCGTTTCCCTCATATTAATAAGAATAGATTTTTAAAAATAAAATAAATAATATTTAAAAGGTGTGTTTGTGTACAATATAATAATTTAAAAAGAGAATTATAAATTTCTAATTGATAAATGATCATATTTAAAAGTTAGATTTGCTTTAGTGGTTTTCTTTCAGTATGTTCTAATACTTGCTTCAACAAAAACATCGTAGAAATAGCATTTGATTGAAAGGTAAAAGACTCAAGTCATTAACTTTTACATAAGCACTTAAATGCATGCATTATGTGTATTTCATGTTGATTATTACAATTTGTGTTACTATATTATTAACAGATTAAATTTTTCTATAAATATTAGCATTACGAAGACGCATTGTCATACAAAGTTGTATAGTAGATTAACATATAGTATAAGTTATTCTTTTAAACAATTACCACTACAAAATCGTATTGTAATTTATTATTGGCTTATTTTGGCATTAATAAATTGACATCAATAAACTGATATCATATCACAAATGTGTTATTTATTTGTAACTAGTCATTAAGGAATTGTTATGCCACCAAACTAAGAAAGACTTGTCAAAATTAGTGGAAACAATTATTAATGCCTACATTAGGGTAGGTTGTCAATATCACACTCCTTGGAATGCGATCCTACCCTGGACCCTATTAACGCGGGTTGATTTGTGCACCGGGCTGCTCATTTTTATAATGTATTTTCGGAAGTCCTAAACATAAAGTTGCTTTGCATTATAAGTACAATTTTATTCAAGGTGTAATTATTTCTTAAAAGGTAAAATCTTGTTCGCTTTTAAATTTCTAAATATTGAAATTTTCTATATATTTCAACTAAGGAAGGATTTAATACATAAAATTTAGTTAATTTTAAAATTCTAAATATTAGAAAAATAATTAAATGACTATTTTGTCAAGAGTGAATTCTATTTTAAAAGGGTAAAAATGTGAACAAACATTTTGCTATAGGGATTCATACTTTAAATATTTAGTAATAACTTAATTTTAAACTTTTCAGTTTGCCTTTATGAAATGATTCAACTCTAACCAATTTCTTTTTCTCTTAATCTATGTGTCTAGTCAAACACCATCACATAAATTGAAACGGAAGACATAGTTTAGATTTAACTAAAAAGAGTGAATAACAAAAACACTCAAATAAATTGAAGCAACTGAAAGTATGTTATGTTTCTATATTTTCTTTTCTCAATTATACAATTTAAAAACAAGAAGCAGAAGAACGAATTCAATGTATTAATGCCAAATGAAGCTACACTCTTTAATTTAGTTTATCGTACCATGAGTTGAAAAAATGTGATGGATAATTATTAAGTTTGATAAAGAAAGGATTGCTATAAGTTGACAAATTATAATTGATTTTAAAGCCTTAAATGTTAGGACTTCTAATATAGTTCAAATAAAGAAAGATTTAAGAAGTAAAATTTTAGTCAATTTTAAAGTACTAAATATTAGAAGTTTTTACCTCTTACAAATAAGTAAAAATTTAACAGTTATAACTATAATTAATTCCCAGTTCCTAAATATAAGCTTTACTAGAAACCTGGCAAAGATGATGTTTTTTCAGTAAAGTCTGCTTATAATACATTGTGTTATTAGCAAATACCACATGGGCCCTAGAAATATATTTGGAAAGTTAAGGTTCCTACAAAAGTTTTGTGCTCTTCCTGGTTAGTGGCAAGAGAGGCTTGCCTGACACAAGAGAATCTAAGGAAAAGGGGATTCCAATTATGCTCTAGATGTCCTTTTTGTGTTTTCGAAACAGAATCCAATAGCCATCTGTTTCTTCATTGTTTTGTCACTGGTCTTCTGTGCCAACTTTTTCTTAACATTGTGGGACTCCAATGGTGTATGCCTTCAAACACTAGTGACATGCTCAAGGAGTTGGAATTGCAATGGGGTGTAGTTGGACAGAAGAAATGGTGGAGACTGATTCCTGCTTGTATATGGTGGACAGTTTGGAAAGAAAGAAATGTAAGAATGTTTGAAGGAAGAAGTAGCTCTTAACAGAATTTAAAGATGAAGTGTTTTCTTCTTTTTCATTTTTGGTGTTAACATTTTGAAGAGGAAGCAGTATCCTTAGTAGATCTGGTAGGTGCTCTATAACTGTTGGATTTCAGAGTTGGATCTGATGTCCTTTCTCTGTATTTATAGTTTTGGCACTATCCTAGTGCCTTTTTCTTTATTACTCAAGTTACCCATCTCAAAAACAAAACAAAAGAATATAAGGTGTAAAATGATGGATTACCGGAGACAAATCCAAAATCTAAATATTATAGAAATTAAATCCAAAATCCAATATGTATTTCGAAAATCCAAATCAATTATCCAAAGAACTCAGATTTGGGTTTGGCTCAAACTCTGCCCAGCCCTACTCAATACCTACATGGCAGCATGTATGTATATCACACAAGCCATGAACATTACTTCTTATACATAATCAAGAGCTCTAATCATCTATCGATACTTTAGCTAGGTAACCAATTTAAATAAGAACATAATAGCAAGAACAATTGGGATAACTAACCTGGACAAGCTTTTTGCACATGCTGAAACTCACGCCCTCCATCACTCCCTTGTATTTATGCCTTCTTCCACCAAAGTGAATGGTGGAGATTGAGCTATCGGATTGAGAGCCTTCAAGCCTAACCTCAATATTAAATTTTATGGTCACATATTCGGCTGTCGTCCATGGTTTTCTTGTTCCCCAAACTGTCATTCCCACCATCAGCTCCAGTCTCTAAAACAACTCCAAATATAACAGAGCCCTTTCCAATGCTGACATTTAACAAAAGACCTACCATATGTACCGATACCTTAAATGTTCTCTTCTCAATGCCCATCACCTGATTAGGCAAAGAAGTAAGAACATCTGAAGAAAATCCAAAGCCCTTATAGATGCACAACCATTTAACAAAAAAAAGAAGTCTCTCTGCCCAGTAAATGCAACTAAGGGCCTCATTTCTACTGGAAACCTTCCATCATCGTTGGCAGATTTACCAATAATCTTCTGGTCAAAGCTTGCTTTCTCATCTTGAAATATGGAGAGCAAACCCAAAATTGAGTGCATTGCCCGCCTCATTCCGTTGTTCATCACCTTCTGAAACAAAGTCCCTGTCTGGCTTACCTTCATAGCATTCTATTTAGTCTTTAGCCTGCTGCAGCACACGATCAATTATTAATGTGCGAAGAGAACAGTGCCTGTTTGCACTTTTCACCCTTGGGTTAATAATAATCTTCTGGTCAAAGCTTGCTTTCTCATCTTGAAATATGGAGAGCAAGCCCAAAATTGAGTGCATCGGCCGCCTCATTCCATTGTTCATCACCTTCTGAAACGAAATCTATGTCTGGCTTACCTTCATAGCATTCTATTTGCCTGCTGCAGCACACAATTTCTCATTTCTAGTTTCTCCCTCATTGTCTGGAACTCTTCAAGAACAGTGGCATGGGACAAAACCACAGACACCTGATCAGAAACTACTTCCACTATCTCCATCTCATCATAGCTCAAGAATCTATCATCAGCACTTCAAAGATCCAATCCTAATCGTAATTTTCAGAACTTTGGGATGATCCGGAACTCCCGATTATCCAATAAAAACCTAGATCCATTGCTTTATCTTTCTCCACTTAAATACTAGGCTTAATTTGCTTGGTATAGGGCTCAAACCCGCGACCGATGTAATTGAAATATTTATATATGAGCATGATTCATGGATTAGTTTTCAATTACTATAATTAATAGGCATTTGGCCATAGGTTCAAATATTTTTCACTTTATTTGGAATTTATGAAGTTAATGAGTTGAAGATGGTTATGTTTGGTTATACATTTTGCAAAAGAGAGAAGAGAAAACTATTTTGGAATTTATGAAGATGGAGTTGGAAAATAGGTTTGAAGCACTTTTCCAGATTTGGAAACCAACTCCAAGTTGAATTTGGAAATTTTATAACCAAACACTGATTTGGAAATGAAGTGAATTCATTCTGAAAATAAGTGATGATTCTCATGAAAAAAATTAGTATCTACATTTTGCATGAGAAAATAAATGAACAATGTGCAGCACATATGTAACAGCTAAAGAAGGTTTTCATTAAGGAATATGAAAAAGAAACATCAAAAACCAGTAATATCAAGCACGGACACATCATGGCAAAATACTTGGGAAATCCAAAATCAAAGCAACCAATTACATATAAAGCAAAACATCTTCAGGACTTTATTACTCGTTCGTTCTGGCTTAGATGGTTTGTATAGTCAGCTAGAGATTTTTTGTAAGCTCAAATGCCTCATTTTGTAATTTTTGCATCTTCTTAATGCCATAGTTAATACCACTTTATCTATAAAAAAAAAAAACATGAATATTTAAAAAAAGAGTACACTCAAATGAGAGTATTAAGCTATTGGAGCTTAGCATTTCAGAGCAATCCTGACTGTGAGATTATTTTTACAGATGTTGAAAATATTGATTTGACATATGCTGTAACAAGGGACAGAACTGAAGTGAAAAAAAGATATTTTGTTGTTACCATGCAATGACTGCTTTTTTCTTATCTGAAGCGACAAGTTGAGGATCTTATTGGTTAGAAGTATTTATTACAGTGCAATAACTATCGGTAACCAATAAGATCCTCAACTTGTAACTCCAGATAAGCAAAATAAGAATAGCACTTAAGCACTATCAATTGCCTGCCAAAACAGACAATTACTTACCATTGACATAGACAGGAGTTCAAGTTGCAATTCATTCAACTTTGTAGCGCAATATCAGATGGTCGGTGAATTGAGGCCTTAATAACACCCATTTCATCTCTTAAAAATGAAAGATAATTTTTATAGAATGGAAGAACTATGCAATATAAAGAAAACTATGATGACTAATAATAAGATTACTCAAGGAGCATGGAGATAGAAGCAGTAAACTGATTACTGCAGTCTGCAGCTACTTCAGAAGAGAAAAGTAATAAATTAGCATTACAACAGAAACATCAACGCAAGTGCCCGAGTAATTCTACACCATTCTTAACTACAGCATCCAGAAGACAAAAATTATAGCTACAACTACAACAAAAGAAGTGTCTTACTTAGCTAGGCAGCCTCTACCTTATCACCATCCACAGCATTGAGTATAGGAAGACTGCTAAGGAATTCATCAAGACCTTCAAAAAACCCAATTACTTCAACAGTATCATCTTCTCCCTCTCCTGCTTCATTTTCTCGGCTCATCTGAATTATAGGCTCCTCAACCTCATTACTGAACTCCACATTCAAATCCAAATTCCCGAAGTGTTTTGCAACCCTCCCACGTTGCCTTCTTGTCTTACTAGTGACGCCTCTGTTACTTGACTCAACTGTTACAGCATGGGATATTTCCACACCACCTTGAGTTGCTAAACCATCTTGCAAATTGCCATCATTATTTCCTTCAACAGTTTTTGCCTTATCAGTGTGCTGTTTCTTGGCATTTTTTCTTGGGGTTCCAGTCCTTGCATTCTTTTTCTTCACATTATTTGCTTTCTTCCTCTCCTTACTCCGATTCCAATCCCCATCTGACTCCTCGACTGACTTGGATACCTCAACAAACACATCATCATCATCATCATCATCATCTTCAACATATATTGTCGGAGCAAAATGCTTTCGTCCATCCCCACTTATCGATCCACCAGCATTAAGCGAACTGCCAAGATTATTCACATTAATCTGTCCTCCAATAGCATGACTGTTCACATTACTCCCTCCATCCCCCCCAAATTGTGGAGAGGTAAACATGGGCGAAAATGGAGACCAGCTCGAAGTGTTATCTATATTTCTATTAAAATCCTCCAAAGACAATCCAAAAGGCATAAATCCCCAACAACAAAAATTAATTTCTTTTCCATCAATATTTGGAGGAGGAGACGCAATTTTTACAGCTTGAAAACCTTTCTTACAATTTTGACACCTTAAATTACAATTAGCATAATCCAGAGAGTACTCATACATAATAAGACAATAAGGACATGCAGTCCAGAAACTGGGAATCCTCTTACCTGATCCATCTACATTCCCTTCCTTCTCCTTCACATCATCACTAGTACTAGCAGACTTATTTGCATTGTTCCCCACCACATTCTCATTTCTCTCTGGGAGCTGTTGATTCCCATGCTGCTCTACAGTAACCACTGGTTCCCGCCCTTGTGTCGAGCTCAACCGGACACCAACAGGTGGGTTTTCTCTATTTAAGCTTCTCACAGAGGTTACCGGCTGTGGTTGGTTCAAACTCAAGAATGTAGCAGGTTTTTCATCAGTGTTCGAAAATGAAATAGAAGTCACAGGTTGTGTCTGTTGTCTCAGAAACGTTACAGGTTGTTGTGGTTGCTGTTGCTGCTGCTCAATATCCGAGCTTTCCATAGAGGTCACAGTTTCTTGCTCACGAGTCAGAAACGTGGGTGGCATAGAAATTCCAGCTTGTGGGTCTCTACTAAAGCTTACTCCAGCAGCATCTTGACTAGGCAAATTCACAAACATTTGGTCTGCATTCGAACTAGGCATTGACTGATAAACATTCTGATGCACAAAATTAGAAGTAGGTGCAGTAGAAGCAGCAACTGGGTATAGGTTAAGAAAGAAACCCAACTCCTTATCATACATACTTTTCCTCATAGGGTTAGAAAGAACCGAAAACGCATCAACAACAAGACGAAAAGCCTGATCAGAAAACGGAAAACTGTTATTCTGAGGGTTTAGTAAAAGCGCAAACCTTCGATACTGCTCAGCGATGAAATCCACATTCTGGGTTTGGTTATGAGGGATTTGGAGAATAGAGTAGTAGTCAAAGTGATGATTGTTTATACGTTTGTCGCCGGCGTTCAAAGTATCAACGATGCCGAGTACTTGGTCGGTAGCAGGTGCAAATGTCGGGTCGGCATCACGAGCCCGGGTCGCGAATGACTTGCTACCAACTAGGTCACGATTTGTTAATAGCTTTTCAGCGATTGACAGAAAACGTAAAGCTTCTGATCGATTTGTTGGAGGGCCATTGTTGATGAAGAAAGGATGCTCCATTCTAGGGTTTTAGAAGAGAGAAAAATGAAGAAGAAAGGGCGGAGTGAGTGAAGAGTGTTGAATTCCCTCTGAAATGAAATAGAAATAGAAGTGTCACGTGGTGTCTGCAGATTTTGGGGATTAGGACATTTAGGATGGTTAGATTTGTTTGCAAAATTTATTAAAACACTTGAACTCGATTGAATATTTGAATATGTGATCAAATATTTGTATTACGTAGTAAATTTGTATGTGTTAATAGAATTATATATTTATTACGTAGGTAGATGAATTAAGTTTTTTGAATATGTGATAAAATATTTGTATTACGTAGTAAATTTGCATGTGTTAATAGAATTATATATTTATTATGTAGATGAATTAATCTACTTAAAATATGTTATCTTTTTAAATGATACTCTCTTCGTTTCACAAAGAATGATCTAGTTCGACTTGGCACGGAGTTTAAGAAAATAAATAAGACTTTTGAATCTTGTGGTCCTAAATTAAAGTTATGTCAAATGTACAAAATTGTCATGTAATCTTGTGGCCTTAAACATGTCACGTGGAAAGCTGGAAATAAAATGTTACTAAAAAAAGAAAGAGGTCATTCTTTTTTAAACAGACTAAAAAGAAAAGAAGGTCATTCTTTTTTAAACGGAGGGAGTATGAATTTGATCTGATATGTCATTGAACCTTAGGTTCATTAGATTAAGAATGATGTGTGTGATTGAATAGATGAAATATTTTGTCTTGTTGATTTATCTATGTAATGGATATTTGAGAATATGAATTAAAAGAATCAAAATTTAAACTGAAAATGATCAATAAAAACACCTTATTATGTGTTAAGGTTATCAATTGGAACTAGCGATAATTCTAATGTACGAATGAAATTTGCCGATGAGGTTAAGATATTATCTATATAATAAGTGTTTTTCTTAATCAAGAATCCACTCTTTATTTTGTTTTGCTAGACTTTAGAATTTAGATTAGAAAAAAAAAAAAATATTCCATAAATATCATATATCATTGTTTGCAATAATTTTAAATTGATAGGAAATAAATTGCAATCATAATAAAATAAGAAGAAACTTAGTTTTATTGATAAACATTGCGGGTACAAATTTGTTCCTCCCTTGATTCTTCTCCCTTTTAAACTTTATTCATGATTCAAGGGCCATTAGTGGCGTATTTCCCGAACTAGGATGATTTGGATTTGATCTCTATAATTCGAGGACCGTTAGTGGCGTATTTCTCAGACTAGGATAATTTGAACTTGATCTCCATAACTCGAGAGCCGTTAGTGACGTATTTCTCGAACTATGATAATTTGGACTTTATCAAGAAGACTCACATACTTTGATCTCATCTTTGTAAATATTCCATTAATTTATGAAATTTTTGACATGCATTTTCAAGGGAATATAGTACCATTTATATAGGCATGAACTAGGTTTAGGGTTGATCAGTAGACTCCAATAATTCTAATTAGAATTGAACACACCTTGTAAAGTACCAACTCGAATTGAACATGTCTTGTAGAGTCTCACAAAATTTCAATGCCTACAATCATATATCATATATCATATATATATATATATAAGAGAACCCTCAACCCGGTGACGTGGCGCCACCAGAAGGAAGGATTCTCTTTTTATTTATTTATTTCCAAAATTGTCTTCCCCTCTGCAATAGGATTGTCGCTTCAGCCTTCAATAACCGCTTCTCCCGTTCATTGTTTTACCACTTTTGTCGCTCGTCATAAATGTTGCATCTGTTTACAACAACTGACTTGCCTATGTGGCCCCTCACAAATTAGGATTCGTATTTAACCCATCTTAAAAGTCATAATCTTACGGAAAAGTCAGAACTCATCATAAAAGTCACAACTTTTCAAAAAATCTCAACTCTTCATTTTTCATTCATGCCTTTTTTAACTCAACACTTAATTCCAAGGCACCAAAAGAAGAAATAATAAACAAAGAAAATTGATTTCAATTACAATACGACATTACTACTCTTGCACCTCTCAGTCCACAACTCATAACGATACTCAAATGGTTGAGTTCATATATTTGGTTCTTTAGTAAACAAAACTTCTATTTCTGCCACTATTATTTGTAGGTTTTTTCCCGCTATATGTGAGTCGAATTCAAATACATTAATTAAGCTTCTTATGAAGTGTGTTTCATTCCTCAAAGTTTTCTTCTTCCTATTTCATAAAGCTTAATCTTTACGGTAAGTCATAGTGATTCATGTACTATTGCAATTTCTTTTTGCTTTTTTGATGACGGTTTTTAAACTCTATTGAAAATTCTAGCAAAGATGATTGGAATTGATCTTCTCGTTTGTCTCTTTCTACAGGTTTCTTCATATAGACAAAGAAAATTGATTTCAATGACAATGCGACATTAATACTCTTGCACCTCTCAGTCCACAACTCATAACGTTGCTGGAATGGTTGAATTCATTACATTTGGTTCTTTAGTAAACAAAACTTCTATTTTTGTCACTATTATTTGTAGGTCATTTTCCGCTATAGGGGAGTCTAATTCAAATACATTAATTAAGCTTCTTATGAAGTGTGTTTCATTCCTCAAAGTTCTCTTCCTCCTATTTTGTGAAGCTTAATCTTTTACTGTAAGTCATAGTAATTCATGTAACTATTGTAATTTCTTTTTACTATTTTGGTGACTATTTTTGAACTTTGTTAAAATTTTCAGTAAGGATGATTGAAAATTGGTCTTCTCTTTTTTCCGTTTCTACAGGTTTCTTCATATACTTTTTGGGAAATTGCTTGTGGGTTGTGCTATATTTAATAGCACACAACAACAAATGTATGATAACTAGTACGAAATCAATGATGAAGTTTGTTAAAAGAACCAAACAGATTGCTTGCCACAGTTAGTATATTATTTTGATTGTTTAATCTTAGGTACAAACATTTTGTATGCCATTGCAATCTTCCAAGAATATTAGTATAGAGACAATTAGTCCACTTCTTTTATCGCAAGTTGACTAATTTGTCATATTTCTTCCTCTCTTCTTTTTGGGCATAATAAGAGATCAAGTTTTCTTGAAACTAACAGATGCCCAAAATACACTATAACAAAAATATTTTTATCGGCAATAAATATGCACATTAACAAAGAGTGCTAGAGCATTTACCGACATTAATTGATTGTCATTAGATTCAATGTTGTTATAGACTTTATAGATATTTATGAACAGTACTAATTGCCTTTGAAAATATATATTTAGCGGCAATTAAGCTATTAATTGTCGTTAAACATCATTTTTGTTGTAGTGATAACTCTTTCTTTTGGCTTCTTTCAATTGAATTTGTGAACTGTAAACTTGGATACACCCCGGCAGACTATCTTTTTGAAAAATATGTTAAGCATCATGTTTTTTTTTCTTGATTGTTAGGAAAGTAAGGTCGTCTTTATTATTATTTGTGGATATTTGTGATTTCAAGTGCTCACAAAATTATGCTGTGAGATTTTAATATGTTATGTATCAACATTCTGATTTAGAATATCTAGTTGTGAACAGTTCCCTTCAGATGCTACCTACAGCTTGGTTGATCATTGCATTAATTATTTGTAACCGCATACTATAACCATAACAATTATGGTTCAATTCCAAATAAGTTGGGGCCAGTGATATGAAACCTAAGTAATTGTAATGACTATTCTGAGACAATGAGAAAAAAACTTTATGATGTTAACAGTTTTAGGGTCATTTTTAACATATACATGATACGGCATACTATAATAAAAAAGAGATTGATGGAGGTTCATAAGAAAGGAGCCGAAGGTCCTCCATTTGAATTTAGTTAATTATGTTCTTGTATAGACGTGATGTTCCAGTTTACTTGGGAGTGTTGTTGTTCGAGGCTTTTTGGTTTCTTCTTTAACGTCTGATGTTGTTAACTTATTGGAATTTAGAAAATTTCGTTATTTCTGACCAACTATTACCGTAGAGATTTTCTTACTTATACTTAAAATCTCTCTATGAATCGTATTTTTTGTATAACAAAAAACAAAAATTAAAAAAATATAGCACTTTAAGATTTTAGAGGAACGCTTTACTTTAAGATAAAATATTTTTGGCAATGTAGTGTATGTATCGAAAATACAAATATTACCGAATTATCATATGTAAGCTTGATAAAATAGTTCAATCTCGTGCGAAGCACGGGTAATTTACCTAGTTTAGGTATAATTTGGGAAAATGTTATATCATTAGACCTTAATCCTTACCATTTAACACAGACCCAGACCCTTTGACCGACCTCAACCCTCAAACTGATCTGACACCAATATCAACCTAAGACATGACTTCGACTCGATACTTGACCCTCAAACATATCCTTGACCCCGCCTCATAACTTTATCCTCAACTTGGCCCTGATCTAACCATAACCTAAGACCCAATAATGACCTCAGCCACGCCACGGGATTTGAAGTTGACTCGAGACCTAACAATAAACTTAATATCGAACCAATGTTGGTGATCTAACCCTAAGCCAGGACTGACTTTGACCCTGAGTTGGGGTCGGGGTAAGGTTGAGCTCTGAGTCGGGAGTTAGGAGTTGGGTCCTGAGGTAGAAAGTCGAGACTCGGATCGGGGTCGAAGTGAAGAGTAGGATTTTAGATCGAAGGTGGATTGAGTCTCGGGTCGGGGTTAGGTTAGGATTTGGGCCTCCAATAGGGGGGGAGACATGTCTTAGATCTCGGTCGAGATTACATGTCTGATCCTATGTACCGCATAAGGGTCAAATGGTGAAATTGAAAAAGAGTTTTGAAAAATATTTCTGTTACTTTACGTAGGAAGTCCTTTTCTTTAAATTGGAGAAAAACAAGTTCACTTGGTAGTGTTTGGTCATGAACTTTTTTTTTCAAAGTTAAACTCTGAATTACACGTTTGACCATAAAATTGAAAAATTTGTTTGAAATAGCAAATATTTAATTCTATTTAAATGATATAGCTACAGTTTACATTAATTGTATTTC